CTTTGAAGGCAGAGGCACTTTTTGGGCCAAAACCCTCCTAGGTTTAAAGGAATCCATTTCCAGAGCCTTGCAAACCATACGCATGTGTTTAATGGTTTTAGAACGATTTGGAAGACTAATTGCATTTTGGGAAGCCCGAAAAACGTATGCGGCCCATGGCAACCATCCGTTACTTGGATTGTTGGCCTGTGAAAGGAATCGTTCATTTTTGCTCACAACCAAGAAAAAACCAACATGCATGTAGGGAAGCCCGAAAAAATCCATAATTACTGCCGAAGCTAGCCATCCATTACTTGTGTTGTTGATCCTGTCAAAAAGGATTTGGCTAGCTTTTAGTCAGAACCAGAAAGACATAGCCAAAATGCACTTTGCGAAGTCCAAAAAATGCCAGTTGTAGCCATCCGCCACTTGGGCTGTTGGGGTTTTGAAGCGGGATTGGATTACATTTTTCTCAGACCTGCAATTAAAGAACCAATGCGTTATGGGAAGCCGGAAAACTGCATGCTGCATTCTGCCCACGGTAGCCATCGGTGGCTTTGGTTGCTGGGCCTGAGGATCACCAAGAAACAGCCAAATTGCATTTTGGGAAGTCCGCAACACGCATAGTGCCCATGGTAGCCAGTGGGAAAGACCTAGGCAGAATGAGTTTTGGAAAGCATGAGCGTGAAAAGTGCATAATGCCCCGGTAGCCATCTGGGTGATTGCTGCCAGAAGCACAAAAATCAAAAACAACAATGCAGCTTTGGAAGCCCTAAAACTCGGGTTGGTGCGCCTGTAAGAGGGATTCGGTTTAGTTTTGCTTAGAACTGACAGGTTCGCAAGACGCGCGATCGACATGACGCTTCTGGTGTGGTCTCACAATTGCGGACAAGGCCGCCGTTGACCTTCAACCATGTGCAGGACTCACGATTCCGCGCTTCCTCTGCAAAGCTTCCGCCAAACGCGCCTGCATAGCCTCTTGGGAGCATGTCTGCAGCTTCCTAGACGGATTTGAATAGCGCTTTGATTCAGGGCCTCACCTTAAAGAGCACGTGCCTCTGATATGCATTTTGGAAAGCTTGAAAAATGGATCACGAAAAGGTTGACATGTCTGGGGGTCACCCAAACGAACGGAGCCTGGTACTTATAAAGTGCGTTTTTGCAAGCTGGCCACGACAACAGGAAGCATGTCCAGGGCTCACCCAACCGAAATGGACCTGGCAAAATGCATTTTGGTGAGGTCTAAAAATGTATGTTTGTTTCTGGTGCCTTTCAATTCGAGGGTCTTGGAAAATGGAGAAAAGGAAGCTCTGGTTGGCCCGTCTGGGTCGAACAGCACCTGTCAACATGCGCTCTGGCACCTCGAAACATGCTCCCAAAACGCATAGGGTTTTGTGAATGCCTGTTGGTAAGCTCAAAAATATCCAGTTTGACAAGCTGTGGTGCCTGATATGTTTCTGGTATCATAAGAGCTCGCCATGGGATTAGCCCAACAAAAATCTTCTCACGCTCATGCGCTGCGAGCCTTGCACCTTGATTAAATTTTGCATGCTTGCACGCATCTATGTTGTGTGAACCTCAAAAAAAACTGATGCTGCTGAGATTTTCCCGCCTGTGTAGATGGCTATGCTGAGGAGGGTGTGACGTTCATCACCTCGGGGCAGAAGCCGCTTAATACGTCTTAGGAAGCTATCAAGCCTTCTCTGCAATTCTTCGAACCCCCGGTGCTGGAAAGCTCCCGGGACCTCATCCTGGCTCTGTGGTGTAACATAGAATCATGGCAAGAAGGCCCGTCGTAAGATCTGCACTCCTGCTGGCGCCGCTGTGATCAAGAACCTTTGACAAAAATGCACAAGATGTACGCGACAGTTGATCATGAGTTGCCCGGCAATCTGTTCTGTCGACGAACTGGTTTTGCAAACTGAAGAACTTGGAATGTGAGCTAAGCACGGAAAGCATGGCATCTTTAGGGTGGTTCAATGGCCCTTGAAGGCCCGATTTGTCACCTGCAAGAAACACATCCGGCTTTCCCATCCACGCTTTGGGGCGGCATCTCAAACTTTGAAATCCTACTGCAAAGATCTGCATGACTCTGTTCACTGCTTTTCCCTACCTCTCACGTCGGGATTGCTTGCGCTTTGAAATGGGGTTAGTGTGGCCTATGATTCTATGTAAAGGCTTGCAGGCACGCAGCATACGGATAATGGCTGGCCTAGTTCATTGATTGATGAGTAGAGGAAGGTGAACTTGAGCAAAGCTTCTGGCACAGCCCAGCCTTCAGCTCTGTGTCTGCGGGTCGGCCATCATCGCTCACATAGCTGCGACCAGCAAGAAAGTCTTGGACCTCATGAATGCGGAGTGACAGCAGGTTCGAATATCCTGGGTTACGGCGCAGGATCACGTAAGGGTCCAGACGCTGGCGCTGATCTTCAGCACTTCAGCAGGCAACATGCCAGCGACCAGAACGACATACTCACGACCTCAAGACGCAATCCGCCCATGTCGAGTGTGTGGAGATCGTCAACAATAGGAGCTTTGCTAAGTTGAGGGCAAATTGAGTAGGTATGCATCTGCCACTGAAGTGCTGCTAGGCCCCGAAAAGTGGTCCCTGCCAGGATAAGACCGGAGCTTGGGACATCCAGGCGGTGGATGAAGCCATACTCAAAACGAGCCATCCGCAGGACAGGAGAGGCTGGGTGAGCCGCTTGCAGGTACTTAGATAGGTACAGGCCACTTCTGGACAGCTGGCCCTTGGCATCAACTTCCCAGTATGGAGGCTTGAAGACCACACTGATGCCATCCAAATCCATTGCTAAAGTTGGTCCTCCTGGTGTCATCTCCTTGCACCGTGTCTCTAATGGGGGCCCTGTCACAAGATCTTGTACAGGAATGCAATCCAGTCTCGCCCCAGTGTCAATCAAGGTGCGGTACAGTCTCTGTCCAAGTCTCTGCGAGAGGCAGCTTGCAAAGGAAAATGCCCAAACAAGTTGACAGACGTGCGTCAACTCGTTCGCCACATGGTCCAGGCAAGCCATGCTGGTGTCAAGCAAGAGGCTGCTAAGCAGCAGGTCAGCCAATGCCGGAAAGATAGAGCTGTCGGCCAACAGCACGGTAGAGAGCGCCCAGGCAGTGTTAGCTGAACCTTGCAGATCAAACTCAGTCAGATGGCAGATTGCCGCTCGCGAAAACAAGTCCATCAAATCAGTGCCGGTGAGCTTTACCACTGCGAGAGCCCGCACAGAATTGGACAAGTTCTGAGGCTACATCTCTGTGGCAATCTGCGCCGCCCGTTTCCCGAGAATCTGCACAAGTCGCTGCCCTTCAGCCAAAGGCGTGCCAGCACTTCACAGTGTGTTGGGAGGATCCTGGGTGTTGAGCCGCATGGCGCTCGATGTTGTGGCATCTATCAATGCTGCTGTGAATGCCGCACCCTGAAACAGTACCGCAGCGCACGCCTGAAAAGTGTTCGAAGTGTTCTGTCAGTCGAACTCCTGAATGCGAGCTCTTTGCCCTGCCAAGGCATGAAATGTGCTCTTGTCACCCATAGCAAGACGTCCGAAGCCTCGAACAATGTTGACCAAGTTCTGATTCTCAGGCATGCCCAAGTTCGATATTGCAAGAGCCACAACTTCGGACATGAGAGAATTGCCCACGAACTGTGACGATGCCGGAGATCGTGCCAAGTTTGCTGAACCCTGCGGTGTGAGCTACCAAGTACATCCCTTTGCAAGTGCAGCAGTTGCTTGAACAGGCAGTCGGTGCCGAGAGCTCACAGTGCTGCAGGCCTGGGCAACATTCGCCAAGTGCTGTGGCTCAAGCTCCAGTATCTTATCTTCTGCCGTGGCGGCTGCAACGTGAAGAAGCAAGATGTCTGGGCAAACTGGGACACCTGGCGACCACAACCAGTTCGCTAAGCCTTGGGGACTCATCTTGCTGCTCCAGTCAGAAGCACACATCTCTGGTGTCGCGGCTAGCAAAAACTCTGGCTTGTAAGTGACTGTCGTGAAGGACCACAGCAAGTTTGCTGGACTCTGTCCTCCGCACTCACCTTGCTGGAGCTTGACAGCTGCGTGCTGCCCGCTTACTGCCAGGAAAGCCGTGCGCTTCAGCTTCGAAGTTCCAACGGCCCACACCGTGTTGGCAGGACCCTGGGCATCGAACTGCCAAGCCTTTGTCGCAGCCGACACCACCAAAGCATCCAAGAAGAGCCTGTGGCCGTGCCCATCTCATGGCCAGCCCTGGGCCATTCTGGGGAGGCACACCCGGAATGCAGCCGCCTGCGCTCCTTGCCCTTGGCGTGCCGCATGGCAGCCTTGTCTGATCGTCGCAACTAGCACATCCTGTAAAGTGACAGTCTGTGTGGCCTCCGCAAGGTAAAGATTCGATGACACTGTTTATGCCTTGCTCCCCCTTCTCTTGTTACAAGCCATGCCATAACACATCCGACTGATGATACAGCTTTGATCCCTTGCGCTTTCACGGCCCACAGAGGCACATGGGCATCTCAAGGAGTAAGCACAAGTGACGACAACTACTAATATTGTAGCAGTGATGCTAGTAAGAGCGCGAGTACCAAGATCAACAGCATCAGAGCGAGCACCTGCATTGGCAGCAGTGCCGGTGGCAGCGCCAGCACCAGCAACGAAAACGAGGAGTCCTACTCCTACTGCTAGCTGCTCACCCCACAATTGCCGCTGCCGCCAACGTCTTCGGGAAAATAATTTGCACCTCCCGCTTGCAATCTTGATATAACTGTCGTACTGGTAATGGCAACAATGACAGGACAAGTAGCGAGTAGTGACAGCATCTGTTGGGCAGGCTTGTTACCTTCTTGCGAATGATTCAGCCACTGCGCGTAGCTGAAATTGGCGAATATCCACATGGCTACTCGCAGCATTCGGGTGCTAGACTCTGCCGCCGGGCCAACAATATCTGAACCTTTGTAGAGCTTACATTCCAAGTCCCTGTAAATCTAGCAACCATGCCACCTGCGTTCTCCAGCTGCTGTTTAAAAGTTGCAGCCAGAATTGAAAATATGTGCAACCGGCTTGACCGCCATGCCAACAATGCCAACTGCTCACCTGACTTGGCGCATCGCGACATCGCGCGAGTTCCGAGTCACAGGGTCAGAACAAGAGGACCTTGCCTTTCATGCGGAGAGGGCATACATGCTCGCTTACAGTCCTGAACAAAAAACTACACCACAATCTTCAACCCTCAGTTGTGAGCACTTTAGTGAAACAATCGGTGAAACAAATAATTAGACTTGAGTCCATATTGTTTCCTTTGCAAGCCTTGTGCTTGCACAGGCAATCTCTCCCAGGTCGGGTGGAGAGCATACATTGCATACAACAGTGAGTCGCTCACGCTGCCCACTGCCTGGAAAGAGAGAAATGCAGAGAGTGGGACCGTCCAAGCTGCAAATGCAGGAGCCGGCATCTTCATACCTTTTCTGTGGGGAGGCGCGACCATTACGCACGTAGCTCGTGGTGAAAACACGGAGAGCGCGGCACGCGCGGCTCAGCTGCGCAATAATGGAAACATGCTCTGGCAGGTTGGTCCATCGTATTGCAGTCTCATGCGGAGCTGATGCCTAAACGTCTTTCATTTTTACAGCAGCTACACCCGTCGTACTGTCAGCCCTTCCCGCCTCAAGCACCTGGGGCAGTCTAACGAGGGCAACAAGGGGAGAGGGGAATGGCTCGGATGAGTTTGGCGCGGGTGGCAATTCATCAAAGGAGTCCTATCCAATTGGGTGCCCTCGGGCGTGAGGCTCAACTTCAGGTCACGTAGACGTAATGCGCATCTCGCCTTACACCATGGAGTCCTGCTGCTCTGCTTGCCCTTCGGCTTGATCATGGCCGACCCCGTCTTCGGGCTCCGAATTCTCCATGACACCTGGCCAACGCATTTCTGCCTCCTGAGTCTTTCTTGGCTCCAATTCTTCGGGGCACCCATTGCAGGCGAAGCCAGTACCCGAGCGGCATGCTCAATCAGGCCATCCTGAGCATTTGACAAACTATCGCCGAAGGAGGCTTGCCCAGGGCCCTTGCAATGCCATAGAACTCTGCCAAGCGTAGCAGATCAAGAGCCATGTCCTGGGCCGAATCTCGGTCACAGCATGTCACATTCGCTCACTTTCACAAGAATGTGTGACAAAGGTCCTTGTCACTAGTGGCGCTGCGACAGTAGATCCAGCGAACAACTTCCAAGAAGAGCTCTAGGTCCTCAAGCCAAGCAGTAAGCGCAATGGTAAGCTCAAGCGCCGCATGCAAGGCATTGCAAAGGTACCTCCTCCACCTGCACCTGCAAAGTGATACTCGACGTTCAGATGGCAATGCATGGCAACGTGACTGACTTGTTTGAAACATTTTGAAACTGAAATTCAGCAAAATGCTCTTTCACCGCCCGTAGGGCTGGGCCCACAAGAGATGCCTTTGGTTGGGGTCTTGGAGGTTTGCCCTTCTTGCCTTGCTCTGTTTCCTCCTCTGGAGCCTTCGGCATCTTAGGTGCTGCAGAAGGCTGTCTTGTTGTATGTCATTCTGCTTTCGGAGTTCAGCCACTCGTAGTGGGCTGAAAACGTGGACATTCTGGATGATGTTTGGCTGGAGGCGCCCTTCACGGGTGCGAATGCATGACCACTCCGTCTAGCTCTTGCTGTCGGACTGTCGGTGTGGAAGGATGGCCAAGTTTGAGCAGAAACAGGCCAAGCAGTCAACGACGAAGTCCGTGTGGACCGCGTCAGCGAATCTGTTCAACAGATGAAGGTAGTGGCTGAGACCGCGCTGCAGCTACATCACAAGCAGAATTGGGAGAAGAGAGAGGAAAGCAAGTGTATTTTTCTCTGCTTGTGCGATCTCTTCTCACGTTTTTTCTTGGACAGCTTATGCCTGATGCTTCATGATACATCGTCTGCATTCACCATCCTGTTCAAATCGAAACATGCAGTTCGTTGAAATTGATCGTAACGTTACGTAAATGTTGAAGCTTCAGTGTTCCCATTACTAGGTTCATCTTTGCCATCATCATCATCATCATCAGTATCAGTATCAGTATCAGTATCATCATCATCATCATCATCAGACTTGAGTTATTCCTTCAGCGCCTGAAGCAATTGAACATCTCTGCAAATCTTAAATTTAGCCGAGCCCTGTACGTGGTCAGTTCCGCGCTCTGCGAAATTGCCCTGGAAGAGTGATTCGAAATAGCTTACCTGCCACGGGGTTGAGGGTTTGGTTTTGAGGTTTAGGGATCCGTATGCTTCGAGACTAGCTCCGAGGAGAAGCATCATTGCTGGCCTCTGACAATACCCGCCGATGAGCGAGGAGCTTGCGGCCACCGTTGCAGCTCAATGTCACGTCCGGGCGGGTCTTAGCAGCAAACCAAATTTTACGATACCAGTAAGGACTGCTGCGGCTAGAACAAGCACCTGAACACACGGCTAAGTGTGCCACACCACAATACAGCCGCAGTTCGGGACGCACAGTCTCCTGAGCATGCAGCAATAGCTGGGTGTGTGCCGTGCTGCGGTCCTACTCCTCGCAGCCTCCAAGCAGAAATCCATGTCCCAACCATCACTGGGATCGATCTCATTTTCCCCGCTGGGGCACCTCTGCATGGGCTTTTCCCTAGTCCGGGGCTGCACTACGGCTATAAGCTAAACTTACGGATTGTGATTGATATTCATCTGATGCCACCCATCAGCTGTGCAGCCCTGATTTATGGGAATCACTAGTTTGTTATAGGGATGTCAACCGCTATAAACGTTTTCAGCTCAAAGTCCAAGATTGGATCAGGGACAGATCAAGCTTCAAGGGCTGTGGCCAAGCTCTACGAGATTTCAAGCTAAGTGGTAGTTCCCTAAATAGGGGGAACCCAATATAGACCCCAAAATACTATAGTCCTTACTATAGGGACTCCCAAAATGGTGGGGACTCCATTTTTGTGGGAAGCCCCCAAGTCTCAGGATTCGGCACAGTAGGGAACTGGTCCTCTGCCAAGGCCTCGTGCCAAGTCGCAAGCTATCCAAGTAGCTTTACATGCTCGCGCATGGAGCTAATGCAATGGCTGCGAGATGCGAAGTCTTCGGTCTCACTTGCATGATGCTCCTCTTGATCGTAGGCACTGCAGCTCACTTGATGACACGCCTCTCGGAAGGAGAACATGGCCCAGACGCGCTAATTTCATGTAAGCAGTCTAAGTGTGTCCGTGCGTGTTGAGGGTTGCGTGCAGCTCTCATGCCTAAGCTATGCTTTCCTTCTTTCATTTTCTTCCATTTGCATGTCTCAACTTGCTTATAAGCCGACAGCTTCCGGCAAAAGTCAGAAACCAACAACCATGCCTAATCTTCAGCACTTGAGGCCGCGCATAGCCGCGCACCTCGAAGCGCATCTCACAATGGTGAATCAGCCTGCCAAGGAATCATGAAAGCTTTGCTGCCTTGAGAGCTGGTGGAACAACCACTGCCATCGTGTTTTGTGTTGTGCAGTGCAAAACGCTAGCTTAAAACTGGCATGCTGACCTGCAGCGATGCGACCTTTCAGTCAGAACTACTTCGCTGCTTTGATGCATGGCACACTTAGGTTTCTCATGACACGCAAAACCTCAATACGTTCGCTCAGCAGACTAGCACACTGAAAGAGAGAAGGCTTGGACGGAGACTCCTCGAAGCCTCCTACGAGTACCATCTCAAAAGAATGGCCGTGCCTTGTCCGCCCTCAACAGCTTATGCAAAACATGGGGTGGCTCCATCTCAGTGAGGCTGGTAGCATGCGGGATGTGTGGCGGCACGTGCCGCCTACTTAGAAGTTCGTTTTCTCGGCTGACACATCAGAACCACCATAGCGTACAAACAATTGCTATTCCTGCAGGGGCTCAACCGAGCGTTGCTGGCACTGCTACATCGGTTGCTGGCTTGGAAAAGTAAAGCAATCCTCACTATATGGGATTACAAACATAACGAAAAAACACGTGGACGCCCCTTGCCAATATGCGGCTGCTGGCAGCCCGGAACAATGTAATTTCGATATTGTATATATATATACACATATATACATATATATATGTATATATATATATATCTGTTGTTGATCGAGGAGCAGGCAGCCAAATCGGAGCATATCTTTTTCTTGGCGATTTTCTTGCGTAATGAATGTGTTTATTTTTGGTGTGCGCTTGCCTGAATGTGTTGGCCTTTGCTGGCGTTCGCCGCGCCCATACACATGACAAACTGCTGCCGACCATAACATGCTACAACACTAATCATTGTGCCCTACCAGGCCGCAAAATCCTCAGGCTTTACCCGAGCTTGCCAACCCCTCAAGTCTGCATGGATGCATGCCAGTCTTGAAGCCTCGGAAAAGGCCACGTCCCCACCAGCACCAAGACTTTCCTGAAACCATTTGTGGGTACGGGTGCTCAAGCACGACGCTGGGTGGTTGCAACTGAGCAGTCAGCAGCTGGAGCTGTAGCTGGACGTGGTGAGGCCTCACTGCAGCTTTTCTTTTCGCGAAGGCAATGCAGCAAATCAACTCATTGTCATCCCTTTGAGCTGTGCACCACGGCACTATGAGGAGAGCCCCATGCAGCGCTAGGTGGGATATGCCACGCCTGCAGCAGACCATCATGCCGAGACTTGACTTCCCATTTCAACCTGGTGTTTGGAAAAACTTTGCCCGCAAATCAGGGCCTTCCGCCTGTCGGTTGGGCTGAGAGACTGGCCTCCCAAATTCGACACAAAAGCCACAAGACATCAGTCTGTTGAACCCGTGCCGGACAGCTAAATCACCACTGGCGCGAAGTTTGGCGGACCCGTGCCAGTACTGCTCAAAAACCCTATGACAAAGCTTTCAGCAAGTTAGAGCGCCTGCTCACATGCAGAAAGTGTGCTTATATACCCTACATACAAGAATCTAGGTTCTGGGATCCAAGCGAGGCGTTCGTCCTAATGACTTGAAAGAAAGCCAAAACAAAGCGGCGCTAAGTAGGCCAGTGCCAACACACGTAGATCAGTGGCGATGCAGCTGGAAACGCTGCAAAAACTAGTGACCAGTTTTCGGTGCTGAGGAGTGCACTGCTTGGCAATGGCAACGATTGTGGACAAATACCCTCAAACGGTCTTGATTGCTGCCTTTGACAGCAAGTGGTATTAAGAAAACAGTGTCGCTGTCTGCCCAGCTTTGTTGAAGCCTGATATTCTAGCGGTTTAAGGCTTTTTCTGGCTTGTTCTTAGCTTTTGTTGCATTTTTAAAGCTTTTCCTCGAAAAAAGCTAGGACAAGCTGAGCAAGCTAGCGCTGACTGACTTTGAACAAACCTCTCTGCCAGTCTGACTGCCCTCTGGGGTGTCGGGCACCAACCACCACAGCCCTGCCAGTGATTCGCTTTGTCTCACGCGCTGGCCCTCCAGCCTCCGAACAGGCTCTCAGGGACCCCTGACAGACCCCCAGAAGGAAAGGTCAAGAATGAAGAAATTTGTCCTCAGTTTAGTGATGAAGCGGCTCTCTGCAGGGCGTAGCGTGTGCCACTGAAAATGAAGGTGTGGTTGTGTCGCACTAGCGGCTCGACTATCATTTGCCCACCCTGCCATCTCTAGTCTTGAGTCCTGATTGCAGCACAGAGAAAGAGTAAGGGTGATTGTAGCTGAAAGCTGATAGGAAGCAATATGATGCAATTCATAGGGTTGCTAATCTAGAAGGCACGCGGATGCTGGAATTTGGACCCAGCTTTGCTTTAGATAATTTTCAAGTTTGTCAAAGCTTTATTTACAATCTATTGATGCTTTGAAATCTAAAGCCCTGAAACCACCAAATCACAACTCAGAACCCCACACCGACAAACATAAAACTCGACAAAACCCTAACACCTTCATCAACAATACTTAATAACCCAAGTCTCCCTGATGTGTAACCGCTACCGCCCAGCTCCTGCGCCGTCCTTCCTTTTAGGAGATGATCGCACCCTGAAACGTTGAAAGAACACCTCCAACGCCCAAACTCCTGAACCTTGAAGACCAAGACCTGAAAGCCCCCTAGTCCAAACCATCAAAGTGAGCTGCCCTGCTGTGAGCAAAACACCCGTGCTGCAGAAAACACCTCAAAGTCTGGTCGCTATCACGCCACACTTACATACACTTACCTTGGATTTACAAGGTTTCCTCCAGGCCTCCCCGGTCACTTCGTTTTTCACTTAGGTTGGGTGTCTTAACGACTTTCTCTGGCAGGTGTACAACCCGGAGTCTGCAACAGACGCGGTTACTGACTGGCGTCACGCCACTGCAGGCCACAGAGCTCAGTGACATGTCACGACTCCAGTGTTGAGAAAGCAGCCATCTTCATCTGGCAAGGGTTGCAGAAATCTTCTTCTTCTTCTTCGTGGTGGTTCGCTTTTCTGGAGTGTCTTCGGGCCTGGTAAATGCTCTGGAGATGCTGCTTGACTTGCGCAGCCGCGCGTGCCGAAGATGGTCGAACGCATCGTGTGGCCGATTTCTATACTTTTTCTAACGGGCCAGTGTTCTTGCAAACCCCAGCATTTACCGCGCAGCTCAGAATTGGAAAGCAGAGCAACAGCTTCGTAACATATAGACTAATGCTTGCGTTGGCGCTCAAGACTTGGTCCTTGGGTGCAGTGTAATGCCTTTTCAGCATGTTGGGTGTTGGGGATTCACCCCTGGCATCCAGGATGTCACATGATTTGGGCTGTTGCGATCGACAGCTGGCTGCAGCATTGTCTGCTCTTGCATTTTCTCGAAAATGCAGCTCCCCACAAACAAGAGCATGATCCGACGAAGCGCAGCATGCTGGACAGCACCACAAAACAAACTGTTCGTCACTTCAAAGTACTTCTTCAACATGCTGCCAGTTACACAGTATACTGACGCTTTCCAAGCTCAACCCTTGCCTTCACCCAGATCGGCTTCATGAGCCTCTTCCTCAATGCCCGAATCCTTTTGGCAAACGTCATGACAAGGCGTGCGCGTGCACAAGGTTTCCCGAAGCCAGTCCCTATGGAACTTGGAGCTCCATCGGACATCTGATCTTGCGGTAACTGCATGCGCCTGGCGCCGGGTCTGATGTGTTCTACGAGGCAGCTTGCAGTCTTTTGAGCAGCCAGCCTGCAAATGGCCTCGATCACCTGGGAGCCCCCAGCCCAAATCGCTGCCAGCACGATACGCATGAATACCCAGATTATCCCAGATTACATAGATGAAGCAGCCCTGGGCGAGCTGCTTTCCGGTCGCCCCGGTGCCTGCATGCTTACATCTTCAGCTGCTCTCAAGTACATCAACATCCCGTGCCTGGAGGCTGCTCCTGTCCCTCATCTCTTGACCCCGGATCCTAGCAAATCTGGGTTCAGGCGCCGAAGCTCGTTGCTCACGTCCCAGCTTGCAACGTGCAACTCTCATGCTGTATGTGTCAGGTGCTCGTGTGCAGAATCAAGTGACCCGGAGGCATGTAGCTGAGAGCACAGCTCTGCTTGCATCCAGATGCTTCAGCATGAGCACAAGAATGTGCTTTGACGTGGTTAATGACTGAAGACAAGCTGTCCTGCCCGCGTCCAAGGGAGACTGGCTTCGATCTCCGGCTCGCGGAGATAAGCTGCGGACCCGGCGATCCTGTCAACTGCTTGGAATGCCAGAACTTGACACCCCAAGGGTGAACTGCACCTCTGTATCCCAAAACTGAGGAGACTTGTTGGCACTTTGCTCAGAGCTGTCGATCCTGAGACCCAGTACAGCTGAACAAGATGCACAGTGACAACTTTCGATGCAATGAAGCCTTGCAGATGGCGGTGGTTCGAGGTCTTCGTGGTCATTCCTTGACCTTTTTGTCTCCAAACTGCAAGCCAAACTGTAAGCGAAGGTTGCGAAATGTTGCGAAGCCTGGTGCGCGTAAAAGGAGCTCGCTGTGTTGGAGAGATGGGAGTGTCAGCCTGGTGTACGGGAGTCTCAAAAGAAAGCAATAATCTTGTGCATAATCCTCTTTCTTCTGATTTTCTGGAAGCTCTGCCTTAGTGTCTTTTCCACCGACGAGCCCTGCCATCTGCTCCGGCCAGGTCCGGCCGTGCCTGGGTGGCGACATGTGGCGACACCCCTTGTGATCTTCCCTCATTTCCGCATTTGTGAATCACCAAGTTGAAGAGGTCTCGGCATCGACAGGTCCTCAAGAATCTCGCGGGAACTCATCGCCTTGCGTTTCCCATGGCTGCCCCAACACCTTACGGTTTTCCATCTGAGCTTGTTGCCGGAGACGGTGGCAATTTACTGGTTGAACTCACCGGGGATGTGCGAGACTTACGCGCAACCGGAATTGCTTTGCATTCCAAACCTGGCAATACGAGTGGCACAACCGTCCCCAGGACTGAAGCAGGATCGGCAAGCAGCAACTCAGGCCTCGATGTTCGTCCGCAACCTGCAGGCCGGAGAGCTCTTCACGCAGTCGCAGCACTACAGGGGAGGCCAGGCCTCGAGGTCAAGTCCACTGCGGCTTCTGCCGACTAAATTTGATGTCCTCGACATCAGCCAGGAGCTGTCACTCTCTCACCGCTATGATCTGGGGGTGCTTTGAGCCAAGTCTCCAAGACTGGTTGCTGGAAGATCTGGAAGGCGCAGATCTGTTGCCACGGCGGATGTCAGGCGCTGGCGCGGGGGGTGAACCAGACGCCTGGAATTCAGTCGCATCACAGTGGGCCCCACTTTGAAGGAACCCCTAGAGTGAAAAGTATGCACGATGTTGCACCTTGAGCGTGCGAGCCCCAGCTTCACGGCCTGTTACGCTGTGGATGCGCGGATGCAATTGTCTTTGGCTCGGATGCATTCTTAAACCCTTCTGCAGCCACATAAGCAGTGAGATGGGCTGATGGGCCTGGATTGCCGCCTACTCGGCGGTGTCCAGCCTGACTCAGAGTCTCAGAGCCAAGTTGCGCAGGAACGGACACCAGAACCCACTCAGACAACACCCAAGGCCTCCTCGCGGCGCATCTCGGTCCCGTCGCTAAGCTTTGTCTTCGAGCCTGTGCCGCTTCTAACCTCGGAAATGGACTCCAATTGCAATTGCCCCTTACATACCTGACCAACTAGTACTGAAGGAACTGTAGTCAGCATTGCCGTTGCGGTCGGCACCCTTCTGTTGCGATTTCCGTTGACGGACGGTCATTGTGCTGATCAGGGGAACTCATCCTGCTGCCACTATGTGGCCCATCATTTTGTCGCATGACTGGATCATAAGAAAAGCCCGCCAGACTTACAAAACAAGAGCACAATCACTCTTGCATGACACACAAGGCAAGAGGCCTGGTCAGCTCAACACGGACCACCCTAAGCAGTGCTAAGGCATCTAAGCAGACCACAAACTTGGGCGAGTTGTAGAGCGGATCCTCCTCACACATGAGGGGCCCCCCAGACCTCAGGCTCAGTGTAAACTTCTAGCTTTTTAACGCCCCATGCCAGATTGTTTTCAAACGGCACCTTCTGCTATCCCTGGCATAGCCTTACATTCTGCGCTGCTTCTTCACCATGCAAAAGTAATTAAGACACCAAGTGATGTCAAGAGCCTATCGAGAGGGTCTACACGGCACTGCCGTAGCTTGTGGTGTACGTGCATCTGTCATATCACCTGGAAGAATCAGGCGCTGACTGAAGTGGCCCGACTAGACGTCCCAAGGAGGATGAACGCTTGGGGTTGCCTGAGCAAGCTGCAAGGCAGCTGGTGTCAGGTAACGCAGTTGAGCTGATGTGCCTGGGGCTCGACCTCGATCGCTCTCAGAACGCTTGCCGCCGTTCAGTCGAGACCCAGCTGTGGCCCTGCCAATTTCAGGACTTCGTCAGAATGCTGACATTAAGAAACTCTGGGCAATACCGATTATCGTTTCAACGCCATCTGCTCTGCATCACCCATGCGAGGGCAATAGCTCACCCACCCGCCCCCCCAACAAATTTGATGGCACCTTGAGTGGCAGACGCGCTGACAGCTCCAGAGCTGCTATGTCATGTCATGTCCACAGCCCACATTTCACCATGAGCCCACATGCCACGCCCTTCCTGAGCAGTTTTGCTCAACAGTCAGCCGCGCCCAAGACTGACCACCTGAAAGCGAAGCCGGAGGCGCGCTCTGATGAGAACAAAGCTGGAGCTGAAGTTCTGAATCGAATTTCATTGTCGCGGCGGTTTCCACAAGGCCCGCAAAACCCATCATGCCCACTCTACTCCAATGACATGGAGGCACCCGAGAGACGAACATGACAAACAGTACCGCAATGGTGGCACTTATAATAGAGTCAGCAAACACAGGCCGCGCAAGTGATCAATGTGGTCGCTGTTATGTCTGCATATCACAGTCATGCCATACAATGTGTACATGCATGATGGCAAAAATGTAAACAACAACAACAACAACAACAAATGTCTGCATATCTGACGGAAAGCCTGGATGGCTTTCGCAGAGGCATTGAAGGGTTCACAGCGACCTGCACCGTAAGCTGCGCTTTGTAAATTCATACATCAATACTGGCAATGATGTTCGCCTTCGCCTCCGCTGCGATGGGATGAGACACCTTTGAACATGCCACAGTGGTGCAAAGCAGTGGAACTTTTCAACGCGTTCGTTTGGCTGCTTGGCTGCTGGGGCTCAGGAACGGCCTGTCTTTCTGCGACTTGAACGCAACTACGGCGAAAGAAGCGGCATGTTCAAGATTTTGAATCACTGCCAACTGCAAGCGAGCAACTGCAGAGGACTCACCAACATGGGGACTGAAGGGCGGTAGAGTAACGGCGCGCGACTTCATCAAGAACATGCTGATTACTTGAAAGGCACAGAGCCGCCGGGCTACGATTCGGAGGGACCTGCCAAGGCTGTATATATATATATGTATTTATATGTATACGTTGGCGTCCCCAGGTTGGGAGCTGATTCAACAGAGGAAGAAGCCTCTATGCAATACCAGCGCGGTTGCTTCTGACAAGCCTGTTTCAACATATTCTCTGCCATCTTGACATGCCGGGTTTGAATCATGGTCATTGCGCCCAGCTTGACAGCGGCTGCTGCAGCAGGCTATTGCAACTCCCTCAGGCACGGCTAAAACCTTCTGGAGCAATCCTTCATCCCAACTCGTCAAATCCTACCGACTCCTTCAATCCGTTTAGCAGGCCCTAGCCATTCTGGCAGGTTTTGTCGAACTTTGGGGCCTGCGTGGTCTCACGTCAGAAGCCTTTGAGCTTGATGGAAGCTTCCGTAAGCATCTAAAGGTGCGCAAGGTCTCACTTGTTGCAAGTAATCCTGCATTCGCTTGCTTTGCAGATGATCCGCAAGTGTTTGGGCGAAGGTTTTCAGGGGCATCCTGAATTCCTTGTGTGCTTGTCCTTGACTGCCCTCAGGATCCCCCAGGTGTGCTTGCTCCCTTTGTGTAAGCTGTTCTTGAGACCTCAGTTTATTTAGATCCCTCAGCCAACCAGCAAGTCGGACTGTGAAAGCCGAGTTTAGTCTTTAAGACATGCGGCCACAGAGCGAGCCCAACCTCTGGGTCTAATCAAAATAGCCTGTCGTGAGGCTGAAGCACACAAGCGAAGGGCAGAGGTCACGGCAACTGGTCCACCTTCCTCATCAGCCAGTCCTGTCTCGAGGTCACTCACTTGTAGGATGCAGCAGCTCTGCAGAATCTCCCCGCATTTCCGCACTCAGAGATTGGTGTTTCATGAAGGCTGTATGCGCCTACCCGAAATCCCTTTCAAGCAGCACTGCTAGTATGGGCATTAGAATAGGAATACGGAACTGCGCACCTGGCTCCTCTGCAGCTAGGGAGACTTGATCCTGCCAAGCTTGGTGACTGTGCTTGCAGTGAGCTAATGTTTCGTACGATCTGCAACTGTGCAACTGCAGGGTTTTGAACATTTGGGCATGTAAGTATCCGCAGAGGCCGGAGGCCCAAGGCATTTAGAGCCAGGGATGGAGACCAGGAGTTATCCTCGGCCTACCCCCTCCCAGCGGCCAGCGTTCCGAGGGGATCGGATCCACGTTTTTTCCACTTAGTTCCTGCTTGCCGGTGCAAGGTTCGGCCATGGCCCCCCGGCAATCGGAGGCAGGAAGCTCGGATTCTGGCCAGGGAAAAGTTCGATAGTGGATAATGCTACTGCTGCTTGAGCTGCGGGGATGACGGCTCGGCTACTCGCAAACTCTGCTAGGCCGCTCTCCTCTTCCTCTACCCTTGCCGAGGTGGTCTCGCGTTAGCGATTAAATTATTGGTGCTGACGAGGTTGCCATTCAAGACTCAACACCTTGCCAGCACGGCAGACAAGAGCATCATAGTCCACTCTTCAAAGGTTCCTCGAAATCCTGAATCCCAAAATCCAGGGTCGGAAACTGCGGGTGACAATAATTGATTTGCACCTCTGCTCCCTCAGTTTTGCTAGCAACAGCTAGCCAGCTTACAAGCATTCGACGTCGACGCGCTCCCATTCCCCAAACGCACAAACACTAGACCACCTTGCTTTCTTGGTGTGCAGCTGCCGGATTGCCTGAGGGTCGAAAAGTACCGTGTAGCTGTCCTGCATCCCGGAGCAGACGGGAGCTATGCTGGGGCAGCCCGCATCCGACCTGACAGCAACGGCAGAAAACTTCGAGATGCTCGCAGGCTTTGTCGCCACAGCCTCACAGCTCCTGCGACATTGGCTCGCTCAGCACTCTCATCGCACCTGACGCATGGCAGGGTTGCTCCACTCCCTTGAAATGCAGGTTCAATCTGCGCACACAGGCGCTGTGTAGGCTTCTGGCCACCCGCCCTCTCCTATGCTGACGACGGCATCTGAGTCTTGAGACTCTGATTGGTACCAATCCTTAGCAAGTGGGATACACAATTTACAGAGGAACAAACAGCCACCTGATTGCAACTCTCCTGCAGCACAGCAATGCGAGATCTGTAGCTAGCCTGAAATACATATAAATCCATGTGACTAAGTGCATGGGAGCGCGAACTGCAACCGAGCTTCATCCTTGCTAGTGCAGATCTCGGCCTCTGCCCTGCGCTCGTCATTGGCTGGACACAGCTCACAATTCTTGATCTTCTGACTGTTATAGCAGCCTGTGAAAATCTTCCACTTCAGCGGGACAAGCCGTCTCCCACTCTGCGAATAGCTTGCTCGGCCTGGCTCAGGCCACAAAAAATCCGAAATGCTGCATGTGGCGCGCATGCGGCGTACGCCCCTTGATTAACGAAACAGCTCAACAGCACATCTGCCTCACACCAGTCCCATCGCTGATGCTACCAGGCCTTGCCGGGGTATACAAGAATGCATACTTGTTGAAAAATGAGCCAGCCGGCCCCGGCCAAGCAAACAGAAATCGGTTTGGACCAGTTTGAGTCAATTTCTTCGCAACGACGCATGTTTCAATCCTCCGTTTGTTCTTCCGTTCAGCAAGCAACGCTGACTATGGTTGTTGCATATTATAGGTTGACATGTTTACAGCAGGGAATGGACGCTTTGCTGACTCTGTCTTCACCTCACCATACAAAGACCCTGGGAAGTCATCGGATGCTGCGCTGATATCGAATCACCCCTCGACGAGGCGGCGCGGTTCAAAAACCACGACTTGCAGGTCCGGCATCCGAGCTTGGTAGCTAGGATCCTAATCGCTGCATAGATTCTACCGCTTTGGGGCTTGCTGCTCCCGAAGGGTCTTGGGGACAAATCCCCACCTTCCTGTACTTTTAAGGCAAAGATGGGTTTGATTCAATCTCATATGTTGCGCCCTGCCAGTTTTGATGTGAAGCTAGCTGCCATACTTTGCAACTACATTTTTCTGCATTCGCACCGTTGATGCCAAATTGCACGGGCCGCGTGTGTGTTTAGTTGCTGCGATTTTGCAGGCAGCGGCCGACATCTGAGAGGGCTTAATTTCTGGGCTCCTTCTTGTGGTCCAGTTCTTCAGCTGAAGGTCCAAAACTTGCGTGAAATGGAGCTCGCCCACTTCTGGGCAGTTCTGCCACCTTTTACAGTAATGCCTGATACATCATGCCATGCTGGCAAAACTTCCCTCCTCACACAATCAGATCATATTAAATTCAGACTTAACAACTTTGCCCTGCATATCATCTTCAAGAACTGCAGGGTCTCTTTTGAACACACATCTACACAACTGCTGTAGAAGAGTGCAGAATGAAACGACTTGATGAACCTGTTGATGAATGTTTGGATGTCCACAAAAACATGCCCTGGGTTACCCTCCTGAAGCAAGTTGATCCATACCCGATGCAGGGAATAGGGCCGGGATCGTCTGATCATATGAGGAAATATCCCTTCATGAGGGTACCGCACGAATGGGTATGGAACAGTAAAGGGCATTCGCGGGCAGCCTTTTCCACATCCCATTGCCTGAGCTTTTCTTCAGCCTTTGAGATGCTTAAAGGATGACCTGAAGGAGAAGATCGAGGGCGCAATTCAAGTTCCCAATTCATCCAGGTTGGAAGAGCTCAACATGTGATTCTCCTTCCTAACTGCATCAAGCCCTCTCCGAGAGCAGAGTTTTGTTCGCATTTGAGTTCTGAGGTCACCCGAATAACTTTGACAACCTTCCAATTCATGTGAACCTGCTCACTCAGGGTCACATCTTGTGCCTTCTCAAATTATTGGCTGGACCTTATGTAGGCCCTGTCTACACCTTTTTTCAGCACAGCAGAGGATCAAACAGGTCACGAAGTGGTGGAAAAAGGGAACGGTTGATTTTATGGATGCCAACAACACTTGCTTGAAGCATGGCTGGGCACCAGGCGCAATCTGCGTTTCGAGGGCCAAAGCTGCTTTTACGATGTCGCCTCGAAGTCGCAGTGGCAAGCAATGGCTGGCGGAAACGGAAACGAAAGGCAGTAGAAGGTCCATCTGCCTCCAGCAAGCGGCTCGCCATCGCGCATGCTTAGCATGTCGAGGATGCCTTCTGTATCTTCTTGCAGGAGCCTCTCACCGAAATGTCAAAGGCCACCAAAGCTTATCTCATACGACTAGAGCTGTTTGAGAACAGCTTGTCGAACATCTTTACGTTGAGCAGAACTGCTCGTGTCCGGCAGCTCTGTTTCAAACAGCTGCGTCACGGCCTCGATCTCCGCAGCTTTACAATGCCGAGGCCGATCAGGACTACTGCCTCCGAGCGTTAAAAAAAAAACCATCATCATCTTCAGAATGAAGATTCTGGCTATTACCCATCGACATTCTAGCTTGCATTTTGATACTTGCTTACCTGCCTCTCCATCTCTTCACAAACAGATTGGTAGGCAACGCACGCAATAAAGCACAGAAAAGGTAATGACGTTCCTTGTCGGGTTCCACTTCTGGTTCCAGAATGTGTCCACATTGAACAGCCATAACCATGGAAAGTGGATGTGACCGCGAAAATGAATCTGGGAAAACAAGCCATTCCCGGCCAGTGTACCTTCACCTCCTCAAATTCTGAATCCAGCATGATCTACACTTTACTCGATCATTGACTTGATTTTGATCTTTCCTGAGTTCATCCTCTCTTTGCTGTTTGACTGATTCCTAGCTGTCTTCCTTCCTCCGGCATACCCTTTCTTTCCGATGACCATGTCAACAGTCACAGGTGGGCCGAACAAACTCGGGGGAACCGCAAAATCAGATTGTAGACATCTCATCTTGCAGGGCAGAAGCACAGTTGGTTCAACTTTGACTCCATAATCTTCCATATCTTTGGGTCGCCTCCCACCCGTCTTGCTTCGAGCCTGCAAGCCGTCGCAGACAATGAGGTCCCAAACACCTGGCATCAAGATGGACAAGCTCCTTTTTGCGTTCTCGTTTCACTCAGAACGACTTGCCAGTGTAGCGGGCCGCGGCATCAAAACAAAGAGGCTGGGTGAAAACTGTGAGAATCCACCTGTGGCAGCTCAAAGCGCTACAGCCAAAAGGGCCAAGCATTGCCATGCCTCTGTAAAATGCCTAGGCTTTCTGCAGAGCATCCTTTTTGCTTGCGCCGCCGCATACTAACGATCCAGAGTCTTTCCTCAACAGAGCATAACGGTCAACGCGCTCAGCTTGGATTCGCATTGTGCGCGAGAGTAAGCCATGGCCACAACCATGGGAACGAACAAATATCTCATCCTGCCTAGAACGCACTTTACGTGCGCCATGATCCTACGCTCTTCGTGCGAACCCTTGTGGTACTATGTCATGTAGCTATGGGGATGATTCGAATTTCGCTGGAATCAGGAGGGCATGCAACTTAAAGGTCTGATAACATTTACATAAAAGGAACATCAGAACATGACACTTGCAAACCAGACTGCGTAACCAACATTTGACTGCCGAATACTGCAGATGCATCGTGGTCCCCCAATCTACTTTGCGATGAAGCCGCTGCAACATCACGCGCTTCCTGACACAAGGTGTTTGCATGATAGCAGCGTCGCGTGAAGGTAGCACCACATACCAGGAAAGCTGTTGAAGTTGCAAATGACATCACTTTGCTTCCCGGCTTGTCAAGAATGGTGCGGAAAGACTCTACAGATTCACCAGCTAGTCCAAGGCTCCGTAACATGCCACCGGCCCGCAGAAACTTCCACGTAAGGGGAGTGGAAGAGAAGCGTCAGTGAGGTCAACCTCAACCTGCGAATGAAAACGTGGCGCCACTGGGCCAGCTTACAGCCTCTGACCTCCCAGCTGCAAAACTCTCTAAGGCCTTCGGCTGACTCTCCATCCAGGACTGGAGAGCCTGGAAGACCTCCATTCAGTCAAACCCAGCATGGCAGCAATGTACAGCAAGTTGACGCAACATATCCCGAACTTGGATGCTAGCCTGCCGATTGTTGGACATGATGAGGGGAAAGTTTTGATCGCTCATCTGCGCAGCGAATGCATTTGTGTCGGCCTGCGCAAAGCGGATCTCTACCATGTGCCCTGGTTGTGAATCATGCGGTGCACCCTTCGGCCTCAATCTGAGTTACGTACTGCAGGGTCCCTGCATCCAGTCTGTTTCCGGCAGCCTTCAAAACGACAATGCTGCAAAGCCAAAGCCAGAAAGCATTACAGCTGCGTCTGTCTGGAATGCTGCAGCTGGCACCCACCTTCTTAAGATTTCTGATGGCGAACTGCCAGGTGTTCACGGCTTTCGCCATGTCAGGGCATGAATCCGAAAGACCGGCCTCGGGAGTACGTTTCAATTTGAGAAGCCTGTGCTATGCTGCAATAAATTAGCAAAGCTACATCGCAGCGCTGCAGCAAGTCTCCCGTTTTCAAAGCCTGCATTATCCAGAAGTCACGGAGGCAACTAAGCATAAGCGCTTGATGGTGCCGGCCTGGTAGGCTTCTGGGATGGCTGGTGGAGCACAGGCTTTCGCACCTGTACGACTAAACTTTCAAGACAAAAACATGCTTCCCTGAAGCAATACGACCGCGCCTGCCGACCAACCTTCCAAGACCTCTCGGCCACCGTCCGACTTGCGGAAGAAGCACTTCTGTGCACCTCAATGCGCGGACAAAAGACTCTGGCCTCTGTCCCGCAAAAAGCGAGGGCCATGCCATCCTGTTCTCCAAACCTGGAATGGCATGGGCGCTCAGCACCGAGAAACAGGAGCAGCAGAAGCAACAAGGCACAAGGCTTCAAACGTTGCCAGGTTCTACCAACACGTTTACCAGTTGCAGACCAGCAGCGTCCAATGCGTGCAGTCTTCTAGCTCAGCACATGTGCGAGCACAAAGTACTGGAGAGTCAGCAATAAATTTGTCTGAGTTCTTGCAATCGTTTTGCCAACAACCTCGCAAGCTTCAGGAGATTTTCTGGCTTGTTCGCACGAGATCGCGCAGCAAGAAAGTGCGCTTACCAAGGCTGCACATGCTGCACCTGCAGCTCCATATACGCTGACATCGGCGAAAATTGCCTGCATCTGGAGCTGACTGACTACTCAAGCGGTGTTCCGTGTGGCTCGGGTTGGGTTGCAGAAGCCCAGCACATCAAACTGAATTTTCATGCGTAAATGGCGCATGAAGAACTAGCCTTAGCAAGTGATCTTGCAAAGGTTCTCCAAAAGGCTCCGTCAAGGGTTTGCTGGCTCTTGCCCAGTCAGGGTGATTGGATTCGTAGAACATCAACAAACACTAGCATCTGTGGATCAAGAAGACATGAGCTGAGATCAAACACAAATAGACATTGGATTCCCGGAAGGCTCCAATGAAAAGCAAGAGGCAGTCAAGCATCAAACAGTGCCATGGGATCAACATAACATGAAGCGGGGGTGTCAAGCACTGTAAGATCTGCAAGGCACAGTCTCTGGCACGCTGTGAATGCTGCACTTGGAACGCTGCTGAACGCAACATTTGCAATTCACTGCAGGGTCCAAATCCATTGCCGCACTTCCGATTTGCCAGTGCTAAGCTCAAGGAGCTATTATTTGCCGGACGCCGGACTTCCCATGTGGATCCTATGTTCAACCTTTGCAGCGCGCTCAGTACAAACCTGCTGACACCACAATCCAAAAATCATGGGATTGCTAGCAACATTGGCGATATCTAACGTCATGAACATGGTGTACAATAACACTACCACTAGCAAGGGTCATAACAGTCGTCTCTTCATAGTGGTATGATTAATAATAGCAGGAGCCTAACACCGCCATGGAACTGTAGGTCCTTCAATCTTCCGGAATGCTCAGCATCAAGGGCACCAACACTGTCAACAGTGCTTTCACTTCTGTTGTTGTGTCATTTATGCTTTCTTTTGTTGGTTTTCGCGGCGCTGATGTTGTCCTTCTCTATGATGCGTTATCTCTCCTGCTGCTGTTTCCCTGCTGTGCTTGTTTCCTGTTTAAATTTAAGTCTTTCCGTAATGCCGTGCTGATTTCTTGTGTGTTTTGTTCTTCCTTTCTTTCGGGTTCCAGCTTGTTGGCATGCGACAGATGTGGAGCTCATGATGAACCCCTGGAAGCTGCAATGATGTTTTGTGCTAGTCGCTGCCACTCCCTCAACAACTCAAATTGCAAAAAATTGAAAGTGGAGATTGGACGCCAGGCCTCCACTTCCTCTTGTGTAAACGCTCTTAGAGTGAGATACCAAGCAGCTGAGTGTACTCGGGAGGTGATTTCAGCAGCTAGACTGCTCGCGGTTGAGCGTCTTTCAGCACAGTGCGGATGCATGCTTTTGCAGGGGCGGCTGAGCATTTGAGAGTTCTGCATGACGGCAATGCCACGCAAACATGCCCCATGATTTAGCAGGTGATGAATATGCTGCCGAGCTACATGCGCACCAGCGTGGCGCAGCACTACGCTGGGTTGCACACAACCCGGGAAGCCAACTGAAGCGGCAGAGCTGCCAGCGCAGGCGCAAGCAAGTCCTGGGCACACAGCGGAACACGGCGACACGGGTTGACCGCTGTGACCCGACTTTATTGCAGGCACTTTGACTGCTTCGTTTCGGCCAGTTCAACACCATAACAACTGGGCATCCGACGACATATGCCCACCTCATTATGCCGCATGCATGCGCTGCCTAGAGTCCTAGAGCCTAACAACGACTGCATGCTGCGTGCGCGGGATGCAGAGCACGGGTAAACACGCATTCTGCAGAAATGCCGCTACGTCGCAGACCAGTCCTGAGGAGCTCCCGAGTCACCGGTGTCCCCACTTGGCGTGGGCTTCGCTGTGTGGAATCGGTCCGCGCTTGGAACCTGCAGCTCATCTTTCTGTACACGGCTTGTATTCTCACCACATCTTGCACAGCTGAATGAAGGCTCGTTCAGGCCAGCAACGTAGCATTCGATCCTTCCCCATGGAAACCTTTGGAAGTGCGTCACTCGCATACTGCCAGCAATCCCATGACAAAATAGGCTGATACATCACAATGCGCAGTCTGGTAGTCTCACACTTAATGACACCAAACGTGCTGAGCTGGTCTCTACTCCAAGTATGCCGTCAATCGGGTCGTTTTGGATCTGTCTTGAGTCACAGTAGCTAGGTCAAACAACCATTTCCAAACGCGGCGTTCGTTATTGCTGCCTGCGTTTAGGGCTTGGGCCTTGGGTTTGCTTCCTGTTTTGCTTCCAGCATTAGGCTTCGCTGCTCCTTGCCACGCTCAGGGTAATCTACTTTGCTCATTCCACAATGTGAAATTGGGGCTTAAGGCTTAAGGTGGTTCGCTTTGCCGGGCCCTTGATCTCGGCTGTTGGTCTCGCGTTAAGGTCCAGGTGCTCCCCCTGAAGCACCCGATGTTTGACTTTCTTTTCTGAGTTGATGCCCTTGCTGTGGGCCAATACCCCTCTTGACGCTGTTTGAGCTGGCACACTCTTGACAGTCCACAGTTTGGCTGTTGCGTGGCTGCATTTTCGCAGGCTTGTGGTGCTACTGTCTATGAAAGGGAAGCGACTGTCTTGATGCTCGGGGCAATTGGTCATGGTAAGATTCATGCAGTTCTGCGTGTTGGTGAAGAGCAAGCAGCTCGGGGCATGGGCTTCGGATTTGATTTGGCAGCTTTGGGTAATCGTGCTTTGGGTCTAAGTATTCTGGAAGTGACGGTTCAGCGTTCGCCTTGGGTTTGGCTATGCTTGTTTTTTCATGTCAGTTGGGACTTAAGTTTTGGGATTGTCGCGTCGGAACGCACGAGACCGGCGGCTTGGAAGATCGTTTGAGATTTGATTTCGGAAATTTGGGACATGAATTAGGACATGACACCACAACAGCTGCATGTTCCTTTCATGGCTTGGACATTTCATAGATGTAGCTGGCTAAGAATAAATGGCTGGACTTTTTTCACGATCAGGCTTGAGACACATGCACCATCAGTAAGATTGACAAACAGCTTGCCGAGTTCCATGCTGCCTAGCAGCCTAGCAGAGCCTGCAAGTTCTGAACAGGTATTCGAGTCGCTTGTTGCGAGCGGCTGCCAAGCATGAAGCTGCAGTGGCGAAGTAGGCGGAATCCCAGGATTCTTCAATTCACTGGCTTCTCGTGTGGGCAAGTAACGAAGAGTCCCCAAAGACAATTTTCAACAAGCTTCCATGCTTATCGTCAAGATGCCAGATCTGTGCTGACGAGCAGCTGCTTGGTTCTTGGGGCCCGCCCCAGAAGCGAGGGCACCATGGGCATAGAATCTGCTGCAACGAAGTGGTCGTAAGCTAGCCCCTGCCAACTGCAGGGCCCAACTCAAAGGATACATCTCAAACGATATGCACGCATGCAGTTGCTGCCCGCCTGCGCGGAGCAAGTTTGCCCACAAGTTGTGCCTTCGGCTCCTAAGTACCAGCATCGACCATGCATCTCCACGCCGCCCTGGTCAGAAACAATTTGCTCATGGGATGCAGGCCTGTGCACCTGTACCTCCGTTGAACCACTGTTCTGGTTCTGGTAAAATGTTGCCAAACACATAGAAGCAGCATTGGGGCAGGCAGCCCACGAAACGGCCAAGGCAGACAGAAGCACGACAGATCTGGCTGCAGCCATCGTCGAGGCTGCGGGCCTGCTCCAAACACCGCTCTTTGTTTATACATTCAGCCCACGCTCAAATGCAGCAAGCCTTGCGCAGTCGTCAGGAAACGTCAAGCAGCTTCAACCGTGTCATTCGTCCAAAACTTGAGCCCGCGCGCCAATGGCATCCACAATGTGCACGGAACAACGCGGACAATGAAGGAATCAAGGTATGCATGTGACAGTGCAGTGCGCTTCTGGGCGTCTGGCTTGGTTAAATAGAGCTCAGGCGTAATTTGATTCTCCATGAAATGTCGGTGGACCTCTGCTCACGTGCGGACCAGAAAAAGATCAGTTGCATGCAAATTGCTCGGACCGCTGCGTCTGGGAACAATCGCTGAAGCAAAGTGCGATACTGGAACCTGCCCAAACCAGAGGAGGTAGCCAGGTAAGGGATCAGGTAGTAGGGAGGCACAGCAGAATGACAGAACAAGACAGGAGAGGGTGGGCGAGAATTCCTGCCAACATTCGTCACTGCACCCCACTAGAACAGCTCAACTGCATCCATGAAGCGTGTGAAGCTTCAGAAGAGGGAGACCGTCGCAGAACAAGAGGTTTGCCCGGTACCTGATGAGAAATCCACGCTTTGCAAACAGCATCCAGCGGCATGTCTTGATTCGTGCAGGCGTTTCAGCAACTCAACAAGCGGGCACTTGACCATCATTTGCACTAGAAGAAAGAACGCGTCCTAGCGCAGTCACATACGTGTCGCTAGCCCGGATCCAACTACAGAAATGCCTTTGGACTGCTTTCACTTGCCCGCTTCTCTGTTAGCATTAAACTAAACTAAACACAGGGTTGCCTTACGAAGGAGCTTGAAGGTGCTAGCAGTGACATGTGCGCCCATGCCCAACTTACCAGCCCCCTTCAGCCTTTGAGGCATCTGGAACTCTTCCAGCCACCAGGAGGAGGAAGCCAGCAACAAAGTTCATGCCCTGACAGTAGCCCACCTGCAGTGTGACAGCTATCAGCCGTCGGAACCGTGGCTCTTTTTGTGACGCTGAGTTTGCTTTTGGCTGAGTGTCTGGGTGCCCCGCGCTCGGGAAGAGACCGGCATGTGCTCGGAGCATGTTTGCCTGTTACCGTGACTATGAATTCTGTTTATAGCAGAACAGCACTCTAAGTTGGCGACAAGTTCTCGCTTCTTCCTGTCGTCGAAATCTTCTAGGCCAGGGAAGGTCCTTGACTTCGGTCGTCAAGCACTGAAAGAAGGGCTGCGTTTGTTGAATCTTGGGTGCACGTCCTGTCGAGATCTTTTTCGATGGCTTCCACCGTCTTGCTGTCGGGGGCTTTGCGCATGATCCTTCCGTGATGCAAGCAATGCAAGTACGACTAGGAACCAGCTCGAAGACTTCGACACCTATGAATGTTAGGTGCTGGCTATAGTACATGGCCAGAATCGAGAAACGTAACAAAAGGACAAAGACAAGTCGGGAAACCCTAGGTTGGCTTGCTTGCGTAGGCTTACATTTGCGATGTTCTGGATTCTAAATGCAAGACCTGCGTGCAGCAGGTGTAGTTGCAGGCTCATGCAGCTTCCAACTCCCTCTGTCTCCTCTTTTTTCGCTGTTGCTCCAGCTCTTGCCCCTCTGCTGCTATACAAGCCTCCCCTCGTGTTCTTGTCGCCTCGAATTTGCTTGCCTGCTGTCTTCATGTTGTCGCTTGGGTTTGACCAGCATTTTCTAGGATTTTTCTACCAAGCTATTGCGTACGGCAGGACATGCTTCAACAGAGCTGTACACATGCTGTTGAAGACATGACTGACAGCTGGTCCTTTCGTACCAGCCTGGCTTTGAAAGCGCGCTCCACCCTGATGACCAAAACTGCGAAAGTCAAAGGTGCGACAGTCATAGCCAAAGCATTGTGCCGATGGAGACTACGCGCCTGTGAGTGCCCGCCAAGCGCGCCATCGATACCTCAAGCTCATTGTTTTTTTCAAAGGTCAGGGGTCATGCTTACACTTCTGGCCTCCTTGGGACGCCTTTTCGGCGAACTAGGTCTCGAAATCCATCTGTAACAACGAAATGTCCCTTGCAGACAGAAGGCACTGAGATATGCCAAGCGCGCAAACCCTCTGCACGCGCCTCGTGATCGAGTCGAAAATAAGTTAACAGCAAGTTTTTGTCCTCACATGTGCTGCAAGATGCGCCACATTCCTTGCAATCCAAATCCAAGCATCAGCTTGACATCTCAAATTGTTGCCCATTGAAGCCGTTCAGCAGCAAGCTGCTTTAAAACCATGCTAGTGTAGGATGCAGCAATTTTCTAAGCGTACGCATGGTCAGATGGCAGAATCGCACCATCTCCGATTCTGCTGAATTCGCTGAAGGTGCACTTATTGCTCGTCTCTTCTGTTGGGGAGAGAGTCTGCCACTTCCTTCAGACGATATTGTAAGGAACCTTTGCAACTCCATGTTTGACCTGGGGCCGTTGTCTTTCGCTGACCAATCAAAGTTGGGCTGTCGCGGCATGCTGCAGCGTGTCAGCTTCGATGCCTGGAATTCCAGGCCACGAATTTTATTTCGCATCTAGTCGGCGGGTAGGTGGTCCACACGATTGAGAAGCCACCTTGTGGCCTCAACTATACCTAGACCGCAGCAGACCCAAACTTGCATCGACAAGACAGCGTAGAAATGTGGTAGGAGGTGCCTAATCTCGGGTCTAAAACTTGGAAGTGAGATGGTCTACAGTGGCCCGAACCGAACAACTCTCTCAAACATGATTAGCATCCACATGTATCCACAGAAGAACTTGCAATACATTGTGTCCTTGAGCTCCTCTTTGTCCAACGTGGAAACAAATTCCTGCAAGGCAGGATGGAAGTCTAGCAATCCTCATTTCTGCGAGAACATATGTCTTCATCCATGCAAGGTTTTTTTTTTTTTACTCTATTAGCCCCCACACACAATCCTTGTCTGTTGCTGTGTAAAGAAACTGGCGAGGTCCCCGACCAGGAATTCCCACCTGTCGTGCCCACGGGTTGCGAAAGCCTAGACAGCTGAACTGTGGCATGCCAACATTTTTCCGTCACACCTGGTGCTGCGAAACACATCCGCACCCCATGGCCAAAAGACCAAATCATAGGCACCACGCACCTGAGAGATGCAATTACACAAAACCGGAAAGCAGTGAACAGCAGCATAATTGCACGGACTGCGACTGCAATCCTGGGATGCGGCTGTTGTCACAGGAATGCTGTGATACATGGGGTAAATTAACCTGAACAAAGCAGAGCAGGGCTGCGCATTGTCCACAGCACACAACCTGTCACCGGCCTCGGTTACAAAGTTACAGCAGCTTGCCATTGCCCTGCCGATCTACCTAACACACTATAAGCAAACACATCTTGAAGCACCAGACAAGGCATTGGATGACACGACAAGGTCTATCAGAGTCTGTCAGTCCATCGTAACGAGATGTAACGAGTGTGTAGGTGAATCTCCTGATATCTCCTGCATGTACTAGACTCGCCACGCAAATCACCCTGGCAAGGTGGGCATGAAACGATTTTAACAAGCAATTATCAAAAGCGCGCGGCAGCACTAGAGACTTCACCGCACCAAGCTGGTATCAGCTACTGGCCAGAGTATGTACAAGCGCGCCTGACCGATCCCGGACGCAACGCTGTTGACTGCCAGGCTTAGCCTAGCTTCATTAGTAGATCAAATCTGTCTTTGCAGATTTTGATGGTCCTGGTAGGAGCTATGTCACAGCAGTGAGGGCAGTCATTGGGCGCTCCACCGGCATGCCTGACTTGGGATTACAATCATCTTCATGGTGCGTTGTGGCGGTAGAGTGGCAGTCAGTGGAGGAAGAAAGCCAACGAGCAGCTAGCAAATCTTTCACTATGAGGGTGCAGGGTTCAATGACACTGCAGCGACGGCGGCGGCAGCACCAGCAGTATTAGCATTAGCATCAGCAGCAACACCCTCACCACCGGAACTGATGCAGCGGATGCAGCAGCAGCACGTAGCGGCAGCGGTGGAAGAGTCGCGGTGATCCGTGCAACTATCATGGCATGCCTGCGCCACGTCGACCAGCCTCATCCCACTGCCCACCTCGACTGTATGCTGTATGCATCCATCTTAGTTTGTTTCATGCTCTCGTGATCTACGAAAGTGAAATGATGCAAGCTGGCACGGGGCAAGGTTCTGAGACTGGACTGGCCAAGATATCTGAGGCACGGCTTTCGTCAATAAATGTGACCAGGTCGTCAGGGCCTGAATCTCGATCCGCAGTGAATGCCTGTTGAAAAAATGTTGTTCCTAACTGAGGCTGATGCTCGGCTGGTAGATGGAGGCACGCTCCCTGCAGCAAACGCCCTACACCAATGCCACACAAATGCAAAGAAACGTAAGGCATGGGTCAGTGAAAGCATGTTGGCCAGTAGAACACTGTTCCAGTTTCAGTGGCGTTTACGGAAGAAGCAGATGGGCAACGGTGGATGATGATGATGATGATGACGATGATGATGATGATGATGATGGCAGGAGCAGGGTGATCCTTGGCGGCTGGTGATAGGACGATGTGAACGGTGATGTGCAAACTTATTGAGATGGCAGAAAATTAGGGCTCCCAAGACAGGACTGGCAGAAATGCGCTTGCTACCTGGTACCCTTCAGTGACTTCAATGTACACCAACAATAGCTCACAGTTCAACTTGAACTGGTGCCGCAGCAACGTGCCGGCTGCATTCTGAAGTTCATGGTGCCGTTATTTCAGTCTTCTTGTTTTGTCAGGTTCTGCCGGGTGTCTGAAATCATTTGAGGGCGCAGTGGTCATTTCTAGCTTTTTTTATACACCCCTACAGATAACTAGTCTTAGCCTTACCAGCCTCTCAATGATTGCAGGCTGGTCGGTGAACAGGACGCTCTCACCTGCACATCAGAAATCTGCCAATAAGGAACGCATCATCTGCAGACAGGGGGCGTTGTGACATTCAACTTATCGCACATCGCTTGCGGTGGCCGCCCGCCTGTGCTTCGACCGGATGCCTTCTGCAGGCAAAGTGCTTTGCAAGAGCTTTACAAAGGCAATCATGCCAAACCTGTCTCAGGATTCCCTGGTAGATCAACAGGTCGTCCACCTGTGACACAGCACCCCAACACCAACAGTACACGGTCTTGAGGCGAGCTGTTTGCGTCCGAGCTGCATAGACTTCAATGTCGCGTACCCCCCTTCCTGGTGTCCTGCCGCGAAACGTGTCGTAGTTGGCTTGTCAGTGGTGATCTGAGCAGTGGATTCTTTCAGGACACGGTGCAGGGCTGGGAATCAATTTACCAGCCACCCTGCCTTTTCTCAAGTGTCGGAAGACCTTCATTGCTGCGCTAGGGCCGCTGTGGAACCAAATGTGGAAGACTTGATCCAACCATTAAGAAGATGCAGCTACACACCCTGGACGAGCAGGGTTTGCAGCCATACAGGACTCTGAACGCGTCCTGGAGTAGTTCCAGAACTTCATGGCTGAAATCTGAGTCGGCTCGTCAAAGACCAGCTCAACCTACAGTACTCTGCAGGGGACAAGTGAGAAACACACGAGGCAATACTATCTTATGAGGGAGGCTCCTACCATGATTGGAGCGTGCCGAATTGATCTGAAATACACCACACCCAGAAAGCAAGCTACCACGACCCGATTTTTCAAACCTACCACAACAAGAAAATGGTCGCTCAGGACAACTCCGCAGTGGCCTTGGTCAAGCTTTCAACCACTTGTTCAGAAGCGAAATGTTTAAACAACGGTCCCCCTGCATGCAAAGCTGGGAGCCTGCTCGGACCCCATTTAGGCTTCTGGCAGTGCACTTGAGGCCCAGACTTTTTGTGGGTTTGGGCCTGTCCTCTTATGAAATTATGGACACCCAACAGGGGTTCGCTTTTTGAATGTCTTACCAAACCACCAAAAAGCGCGCGACTCTTAGTGGTTCTGATATCCAAAAATGTCAGATCATGAACCTGTATGTCGGGGGTCCGCTTTTTTGTGGTTTTGGCCTCCAAAAGACGAGCTTTTGTCAATTCTGGCTTGCAAGAATATCAAACAATGGACTCCCACAGTATCCAAAAGTGGACCCCACCCGCTTCTTGATAATAAAGCGAACCCCCGACTTTTTGGTGTTTCCGGCTTCCAAAGAATGGACGCATGACGAGGTCAGCTTTTTGGCAGTTTTGGCCTCCAAAGCTACCAAAAGCACAGACTTTTCAGTGGTTCAGGCCCCGGAGTATAAAAAAGCCAAAAGGCTGCAGTCCACTCGTCATGGACTCGTCGTGATACTGAAAGCACGTAGTCGTGGTAGCTTGTGATCCCCTTTTCAGTCGCTGTACTAAACCATTGTTCTGGTAGGTCCGCCCTGTGGTTTCAACAGCGACAATGACCGAAATGAGACCTAGGGTTCTGATGCTGAGAATTATTCTTGTTTGTCTTGGAGCTGTTGCTGCTGTGGTCGTTGATGATGGTGGTGGGTAGCGCTGGTGGCGCTGCTGGTGCTGGAGCTGGTGCTGGCGGCGGCGGCGGTGATGCGGCGGTGCAGGGTGGAGTGGTGGGTCGGGGGGCGGCAGTGGTGCGCAGGTGGTGGGGGGCTGGGCTGCGGCGAAGGTGTCACTTTTGCCGTTTTCGCAATTGCTTTGCCACATCGCGGTACTTCTTAGCAGTACTTCTTAGTGAACTGCCTGGATGTAAGCCTACCATCACCGTGCCACCATTCAAAGTCTGTTGTGCAGAAGTCACTACAGCTAGCCCAGCTTGGTCATGGACGTAGTTCGGAGGCTGCCGGAAAAACGGCGCCAACCTTCACTCACTTTTTGAAGGATGCAACCTACATCGCAGAGCTTTCCGCTTGTTGGGTTTTGCGTCTGGGAGCCTGGCCACATCCGTGCATTCTCTGGAGCGCCCTTGAGAAAGGTTTCCTGGAATCCGCACACATGTTTCCGTGTGCCATGTCTGGGACTGCTTCAATAGCAATAGTTTAGTGCAATTCTTTCAGCATGAGCTGTACACTGTACAAGCCTTGCGAAGCCGTCGTCAACGCCACAAGACCAATTCCCTTCCCTAATTGTTGACCCTCTCTCAGCCCTTTGTTGTCTGCTTTGGTATCTTTTAGCAAGCACCTATCAGCAATGCCCACTTGAAGGGGCCAACATTTGAGCATTTGTGCTGGACGCCACATGGTAGTTATTCAAAACACCTGACCCCAAAGTGGCCATGAGATAGGTTCAAGTGCATTCCCAGTGGTTCCTCCACTGAATGGACGTCTAGAACAACCCCCATGTTCCTGCCAAGGGGGCGAGTGCTCGGCACCCTCGTTCCCCCAAGCAAAGGGCATTTCAAAAAGGATCACTACGAAGTTCAAACTTGCGGCAGCAACAGGCAAAAAGATAGCCAACAAGAGCCAACGCGCAACATCCACAACTGGCACAGTGCAATGCGCGGAGTCCGGAGCACAGGTGCATGTTGGGCGAAAGTCTGCACGCACTTTATGGGCCAGCGATTGTCTGTAGAATGTAGATATTTAATTTCAAGAGCGCATTGTAGATAACACAGTACGTGCTCTCCCAGCGCATGCCGCCAGTTGCATGCTCTACCCTTTCGCATGCAGCTCATGGTGATCACATGTAAAGATGGCTTGCCCAGGATAAGGATTCGGCAAAAAAGAGTCCGCAAAACGTGCCTCCGTGCGGACATCGGCTTCCATGCCAGGCAGGTCCCTGGCAGGCAGGCAACAAGCTCAGAACTCAAAGCTATGAGGTCTGCCGAGCCTAACGCTGCCGTGGTTGCAGTGTGCACGCTTCGGCCTGCATGCTCAACTGCAACATGCGGCAGGTGAAGGAATGAGCACCTAATGTACTATGCTCGTCATGTAGCCCTCGTTCAGCATCCATCAGCGCACCAGTCTCGACAGTCCATTGAGAGGCCGTGGCTGTCTGAGATTATCTGAGTCTGTCGCTTTCACAGGTCTGAGCACACAGGCACATTCTCAACATGTGTGATGCTGTAGGCTCTAGGTGCTGGTGTCGTTGAAGAGTGCCAAAGCCCTGGAATTTGGAATGTAATTAGCGCATGCCTCCAGCCTCCTCACAACAAGGGATTTCTGTCAAACACTTGTGCTGATAAGATGCTATTGGACATGCTTAGTTGATAGAACTCTTTTGTCAGATCCTTGATTTTGCTTGTCAAGCAGTTTCCGTTCCGCTGCCCTAGGACAATGCCATCACCGTACTATGCGGTTATGTCCATGCACGTCTGCACAGTGTCTTACGAGCGTGTCGTGCCGCTACAAGAACTTGGCCAAGATCTCAAGGCCTCAATGGCCTTCCCAGTCTGTCGTAGATCTGCAACAGATTATCCATGTTGCAGGATTTCATCCATTTGCGCGTGCAGACCAGTTGATGCGCACCTCAACACCGTCAAGGCCAATGTAATGAACCTGCGCGAAAATCTTGCGACTGGCGTGCATTTGTCGCTCACTGATCTTTCCCAGCATGTTTGCATGCCATCCGGGAACAGGACATCCGACCAGGTGCTGACGAAGAGAAGCTTGAAAGTAAAGCCGCAAGGATGGAGTGGAGTTTCGTACCTGGTAGGTGCAGCTGAGCCGTTTTTGGACATGGCTAGAGTTACCGTATGTGCGGCTGCGAAGTCATGTTTTCACTCGCTTGTCGCACTGCTGGGCAGGGCGTTCCGCAGAACAGGGGGAGCGCTCAGCGGGCCTGGGTTGAGCATGTAAGGTTGCTCTCCCCGAGCATGTTCAGACCCGCACAGCCTAGATCCAGGCCTCTTTTCAAGATCCGCTGGGCCAAATGTCCTTGAGGCATCAAATCTTCAAAGAGCAGGAACGTATCATCGTGAAGCAGGCCTTTCGGATGCAGCAGCCGGCTGCCCACGACTTGATGTCTGCGTCTCACCGTCGCGCCGCCTGCAGGGTACGTACATCCTCAAATTCAGAATAGTTGGTCTGAGAGCTCTCTATGCCTTGCCTGCTTGCAGACCTTGACGGCAAGCGCGGAGGAGCTCTTTTGGCGAGATCCTGGCAAGTCTTCAGCCATCTGGAAAGCTGCGGATATTATCCTCGAACATGCATGGCGCGCGGAAGGTGGCTGGTCCAGGAGGACAACCTGCTTGAAATCGAAATGGACATGACCTGGGTTCAAAAAGGCTGCACAAGTAGGTGCTTGAACCTTTGTCTGCCAATGTGTGATCTGCAATGCCATCCGTGGAAATCACAAAAATAATTAGCTCAGGCAGTTCCTCGCTTTACCATCTTTACCACAAAATCAGACTTGGAAGCTGGCCGGGAGCTTTCCGGCACAGGAATGTGGCAATGAACCTGGGACTAAGTGTTGCGGCACCCTACGCATGCCTACGCATGCGAGCTAGTGCGATAGCCTGTCGTCACAGTAGACGGAAAACTCACGAATGCCTCTGCAGGTGTCCTGGCGAAGCAACATTGGGGAAGCAGAAGCCTGTCTTAGCTGTCTTAGCCATGGTAGGATGCTGGATTTGCGCGAAGTGTTTGGGCCGCAGATTGCCTGTTGGCAAGAATTACGGCACTCCTCTCCCCATCTCCGTGAGACCTCTGAAGCCATGCACGCGCCATGTGTTGCATACCCCTACATTCTCGAAGATGTTTAGGAGGGCCAGTATGGCAGGTGGGTTGAGAGGCTTCAGGAGCTTTGGCTGCTGGTCAGCGATTTGCTCTCCGACACCAGTCGCACGCAAAGCCAATTTTTACCTGCAATGTAAACACAGTTCGATAATGTTTGATATCAACTTCACGAATGAAGGCATTAGACATTGTAAATGCAAAAGCAGGCTCATTTCTTCTTGGACCAGGATGTACGTCACTTCGTGGCTTCAACGCTTCCAAAGCGAGGGAGTCCTCCAGATTCTTGTTGTAATTCCAGATGTTGAACCCAGCAACCTGTAGATGAGCTTCTTGCCAGTTCAAACAAATCATGCTTGTCTAGCTTTCGCTTGTTCTGGTCTGCAACCTTGCCTCGCGGGCTGCACTGAAAGTGATGCGGAGGTAGTTGCGTTGCTGGCAGGCAAACGGAAGATTGAGTGATCTGCGCTACAAGGATTGGCTGACACATTTTCACCTTCAAACTGGGAACAGACACGTTCGCGTCACTTGGGTCTCCATCCTGAATCTCAGGGGCAGCCTTCAAGCAGAGCACTTTAGCAAGAGCATTTCAGGCGAAGGGCAAGCGTTGTGGCCTTCAGAAAGGGCGTAAGCCACATGTGCTCGTCGTCAACTGTGCAGCCAACCTTGAATGAAGTGTTACAAGAGGTGCCACAAGTTTCAATCTTGTTGAAGAACGCGCCGGGGCCGCCCCATCAAAAAGGTTGCTCAACGTTCGCACATCTCCCTCCACACCCTACAAGGCTGACAGCCATGCATGCAACAGGTGCAAAATGGTGCAAAGCTTGCATCTGCAGCCTCGAGGTCATTCAAGTCCCTGGGGTAGGCTTCCAGCTTCATCTGACCACAAAGAATACAAAGTAAAGCTCTGAGGGTCACATGGTGCACTCGCGCTCATGAATGCGTCTGCATCTTCTCACACCGTGTGGGGTAGGCAGCCTGGTCTGGTGGGATTGGGGCCAGATTGCCATCAAGGACCTGCGAGGCATGAAAAACATGCGCCATATGTGAGACACTGGGCAATGTCCAATGTTTGAAAATTGAAAATATCTGTTATCTGCAAGGTCTGGTGGATGTGGAGGTGTCTGACTGTCTGACCTCCAGAGCCGTGAGTCCGACGTAGAAGGGGTCTCCCCAAGTGGAAGTGACCTGGCAGCTGCCGTGGAAACGGTCTTTTCCCAAACATTCTCAAATCAGATGGGAAGACCAGAAACGTCACTGCACTGCAGACCTCATTAAGATCATCAATCATAGGGTCGGGAATTTTGCCTGGTTCCCTTGGACAGCTGAAAACAAGTCTCCGGCAGTTCCACGCCCCCTCTGTCTCTCCATGGCTCGTGTCACGGGCCGACCGCTCGCGAGTCGAGGTGTGTTCTGGATTTGGCAGTCACAGGCCACAAAGCATTGGCAACAGAGCATGGACGAACATGGCCATGTTGCAAGGCGGTCCTGTCCACGAGGAGAAAATCCGTTCCCGGCCTAGAACAATGCTGCGTGGCAGCAAGCAGCAGAGGCAACGTATCAACAAAGTGCACAGTGCACCCTTCCTTCTTTGCATATGCCCATGGATGCAGCAAAGGGTGCTACGTAGACGTTTGGAGTCCAGGACTGCTTGTTTCTGGAGAAACCAGGTGAAGCTTGGGCCAGCCAAGTATCGGACACTGCTTACTGCTGCATAGTCTGCAGTCGGTGGACGGGGTCCCAGTGAAGCATCGGCCTTAGAGTTAAAGCGATTTCACGTGCGCTGCTTCTGTCTCCGGTGTGCCTTGCCTCAATGTTCTCTTCTGCCCGTAGCTCCTGCGAAAGAAAGCTTGGGAGTGTGCAAGAGTTAAGCTGCTTATGCAGTTGAAAGGACGGTCTGGTGCGAGGGCTGCATTGAATCATTAGCACGACTGTCGCTTCATCAGGAGCTCAGATTACAAGGTTTCAGGTTTAAAGAGACTCAATTACTTTGCTGTTCTTGAAAGAAAGCATAGGAGAGCTGATTCTGAAATCTGATTCGCCTATTGATTTTGTTTTGCAATTAACCGCTTGCGTGTCGCTTCCTGACCTTTTAGATCTTGGGTGGGAGGATCTCTTCAAGTCTACAGCAAACTCCCTCGAATAAGAGCAACAGGTCCGGAGTGATCAGTTTTAATGTTGGACACTCTTCAAACTTGGCCCGCTCTAACAATAGGGGGACAGAAAATAAAAAACCAGAGACTCTCAATAAGGGCCCCTCAAAGTCTCTCACAGTTCTGACGGCTGTGGGGACTAATTTAGAGGGCATGGTCAACAGGGCTTTCTTCAGGATCCAAAGTGTGATGGACAGCCCCCCCTTTGCCCGACTGATTTGGGCTGTGAACTTTAGCTTAAGCTTTTGACCACAGGTTTGCAAGGAAGCTGGTCGGATTCTCAGGTTTAAGATTTGGGGTCTGGCTTCTGGATCTAAAGATGAGAGGGCTGGTTCTGAAAAGGATCTCAAAAGGCATACACCTTAAAAACAACAAAGATTGAATAACTCAAGGACCCTAACATCAAATCCTGAGCTACCCTTACGGTGAGAGGCTCTCTTTTCATTTTTATAGTAACCATTATTAATGGTGACTATAAAAATGAAGAGAGGGCCTCTCACCGTGGACCATTATAGTGAATCCTTCAAAATAAGGGCAGAACCCTCCGGAGTCATTAGTTTTAGAGTTGTTTTCCACAAGGGCTCAGTTTCTTGGCTGGCCCTAATAAGCTGATTCTGAAACCTGATTTGCCTAGCGATATTTATTTGGAATTCAAGGCTTAACCATTGCTTCCTGAGCTATCCCTTGCATGTCTTGCGTGCGGGCGATCTTGCTTTCTGTTTACCGAACCCTCGTCGGATAAGAGCAAAACTCCTAAACGTTTTAAATTGCAAAGAATTTCAAGTATAAAGGCTCAGCTAGCTGTACTTACACGCCTACTCACTCTGAATCTTCGCCTTCCTCCTCCACCTCCTCCTCCTTCCTGTTCCCCATACCAAGTTCCTGGGTTTGGGGAACTTTTATCAAGGCCCAAGTACGCGGTTGCTCATTCGGGGAGCCTAAAATAGTTTTCCTCATTTCCCTTCTTGTAACAGCTTCTTGTAGGGGGAAGTGCCCCGTTTAGTTGCGAGCAGGAATAAGTGTGACTCCTCTTTCTTTCTTTCTTTCGTTCAGGCTATGGAGAAGGGGTAGATCCCCTTCTCCGGGCGTCACTGCCCAGCCCGTGTTGGGCTGCTTTGTCCTTCCTACCCCTCTGTGTCCAAACGTGCTGGGATTTTACGCTTGGGGCAACTAAGGGCCAAAACTTGGGTAATTAGGTTGATATATGAGGGTTCCCAGCGTTTTTGAACAGCATCACAGATTGTTTCTCTGTGTTGCCACCTGTCAGCAATCATGCTCCATGTTGGTTTGGAGGGGGTAACTGCAATCAACAGCTTGTGCAGGATTTGCTAAACTCCAGTTGAAAGGATAGTTAGGTTCTTCTGAGCATGGATTGACTCATCATGTTCTTGGTGCATGTGCGCTAATTGCCACCCTTGTTTGCTACGGACTGAGCACAACAGAACTGCTCCCCTTTGGTTGCTGTGTCTCTGCAAGTTGGACAAAGGATAAGGCTGGCTTGCTCAAAGTGTGAGACTTGTAAGTCTGGCGCATAGAATGTTGAGGCTGTGCTTTTATTCTTGTTGGTCTAAACATGATAATATTTTATTAGTTGGCCACTTTAATCACTCCCTGGGGTGACTCCTCTCTTTCTTTCTTTCTTTCGTTCAGGCTATGGAGGCCCTCCGGGCGTCTCTGCCCAGCCCGTGTTGGGCTGATCTGTTGGATTACCCCTCGGTGTTCCAGCATGCTGGGAAATTTTTTGGGAGTATAATGGGGTTCCTTTCTTTCTTTCTTTCGGTCGGGCTATGGGAGCAGGGTGGTACCTGCCCCCGGGCTTCGATGCCCAGCCCGTGTTGGGCTGATTGGTTGTATACCCCTCTCGGTTTCATAGTGGGGGCATTTCCTTGTTATAAAGTAGGTATGTCTAAAGGGCCCTTGTTTGTGTTGGAGGTTGCCTGCCCACACTTGAAACTCGGTTTGCAAGGCGTTTGCTTGCTGTCGGTGGCTTTGGGTTCTGCTTCCAGGACTAGCTATCATACACTATTGGACTTTGAAAGGATGGCCACATCCCTGATTGAGGTAACTGCGCAAAACAGCTTGTGCACTGTGCTCTGTCTCCCCGTTTTTTGGTGGCTTGGCTTAAACCTGGATAGACAGTTCCCTCAGCTTGAGTAGAATATTTCTTTGCCAGGCTTGTACCCCTTTCCCTTTTCCTACATAGTTGATTTGAGGGGCTCCGATAGCATAGGCTAATAGGGAGGATTACGCTGAGTGCTGGGGTTTTTGTCTGGCCTAGGGGCTTGCCTTCCAGGTGGTGGTTTTTGTCACTTGGTTAACAGCGCAGACAGCTTGCAAGTACACATTAGTAGAGGAGGTAAGTACGACTGTTTGGTTGTTCTCCTGGTGGCAAGGCGCCGTGATACTACTTTGCTGGTTTTAGGTACAGGCTATTGCTGGGTACGGCAGCAAGTTGGCAGGTGAAGCAGTTGCCTCAGTAGGTCTTGTGGTTTGTTCTCAGGAGCGATCGCCTTGGTCCGCAGCTTGCTCCGCAGCTGTCAGCAGGTCGACGTCTGCCTCGTCCTCGGCGTCGTACTGCGTCATTTGCTGGGCCGGCATGTCCAACGGCTCCGTGAAGATGTCCATCTTCCTTTGCTGCGGCGGGCTTCGGGAGCGTTGCGCATGGCGTCCTAGGATCCACCACGGCTGTGTGCTTGCTTCGCTGCTGCAGCTGCCTGTGTGCTGTGTGGAGGCGGCAGCTTGACTTGTTTGTGGCTGTATTTCCCCCTCGTGGTGGCCTGTTGAGCTTCTGCTTGCGGCATCGTCAACCCCAGTACCCACCATGGTTGGGTTTGTGTGGTTGTCTGTGGTGTTGCTTGAGCATGTGGTATCGTGTCTGGTCGTTCTTGTGGTTGTGGCGGTGGTGCTTGTGGTGTCAGAGGTGCTGCTGTTGTTTGCTCTGTCGGTGGCTCTTGTGTTGGTGCTTGCTCTGTTGCTGTTGTGGGTTCGTGTGTTTGGGATTCCTGGCTGTCAATGGTAATGACGTCGTTGTGGTGTGGTTGGTTGCTTGTTGGGTGGTAGTGGTTTGTCATGATTCTTGTTGCCAGTGCTTGGATGTGCGTGGTGAGCGCCTGCGCAATTTGCAGGGTGAGTTCGAGCTCCTCACGTGTGGGTTGTGGTGGTGGTGGTGCTGCCATTGCTTGTGGTGGCTGTGGTTGTGGGTCTGTTTGCGCGTGGAGTTGGTAACGCAGCATGTCGCGGAGAACTGGGAGGCCATGTTGCAAAGCCGTGAAGGGTGGTTGTTGACTGAGGATGATGGGGAAGTGAGTGTTGTTATGTGTCGGTGGGGGGCTTCGTGGCTGCTGCTGCTGCTTACCTGTCGCGGTGGGGGCGGTTGGCAGTGGTCTCCCCTCTGTTGTTGCGCTGGCTTGGTCTTGGCGGCTGCTGGCTTGGCTGCCGTGGTGGGCTTGCTTGGACGAGGTGGTTGCTGTGCGTCTCTGGTCTGTTGCGCTTCTGCTTCTGGCTTCTCTTTGCGTTGCGTCTGTAGGGTGGCACGTTGCATGAGAGAGGATTCATCCCTGGTGGTGGGGTCCTCCGTTGCTGTGCATTGGTCTGCTGCAGCTTGCTGTGGTTGTGGTGGGTCTGTCTCCATGTGGGGTGACTCCTGGTTTGCTTGGTGTGCTTGTTGTGCTGGTTGTTCTGGTGGCGGCTGCTGTGGTGTTGTTGTTGTCTGGTGCATTGCTGGTG